TTGATTGCCTTTAAGATAATGTTACGAGTAACTTCTTTAATGATCTATTTACAGCGCACAGAACTCGACGAGTAAGATGGCGCCAGACCAGCATCCAACGGAAAAACCCACTTCGTCCTCCTCTTTCTTGCAGCCGTGTTTAGCCGCATTTTCGTATCATAACCCCCGGCGGTAGAAGCACCGTCCCGGTGCTAAATTTACGCAGATGATGTCGAAGGGGGGTAATAGGGCTTTAGCCGAGCCACGTGAACGGTGTCGCTCGGAGCTGACGATGACTTTGTGGGATCAGTTGGAACAATCTCGTACGTGACGTCTGTCACTTTGCGAACGATACGGAATGGTCCAGTGTAGGGCGACAACAGTTTTTCCGACAGTCCCACACGCCGAGTAGGTGACCAGAGGAGCACGAGAGAACCCGGAGAAAAGTGCACGTCCCTATGGTGAGAATTGTAGAGCTGTTGTTGGCGCGCCTGTGAAGCCTGTAGACGGTTACGGGCGACTTGGCGCGCGTGGTCGGCGCGGGCAATGGCTTCACCAGCATATTCAGTGGCCGCAGGTAGTAACGTGTCTAAAGGTAGAGTTGGGTCCCGGCCATATAGTAGGTAGAAGGGCGAATATCCGGCAATGTTGTGACGAGATGAGTTGTAGGCGAACGTCACATACGGCAAATGAATGTCCCAATCGTGGTGGTCTGGCGCAACGTATTTGGCAAGCATATCGGTTAGGGTCCTGTTAAGGCGCTCCGTGAGGCCATTTGACTGGGGATGGTACGACGTAGTAAATTTGTGCTTGGTATGACAAGACCTCAGGATTTCATGAACGACAGCTGATAAGAACGTGCGACCACGGTCGGTGAGAAGTTGACGGGGAGCACCATGCACTAATATTATGTCGTACAGCAGAAAGTCCGCAACGTCGGTAGCGCAGCTGGTCGGGAGTGCTCGTGTGATCGCGTACCGCGTAGCGTAGTCCGTGGCAACAGCAATCCATTTATTTCCGGCTGTGGAGAGTGGAAAAGGGCCCAACAGGTCGAGACCAACTCTGAAGAAAGGCTCGTTGGGAACGTCGATCGGCTGAAGGTAGCCGGCTGGGAGGGCAGACGGCGTTTTGCGACGCTGACAAGGCTCACAAGCGGCGACATAGCGTCGAACAGAGCGGGCAAGTCCAGGCCAAAAAACCCGACGTCGTACTCGATCGTACGTGCGAGAAACGCCCAAATGGCCCGTTATGGGAGCGTCATGGAGTTGATGCAGGACAGAGGAACGCAGGTGCGCTGGGATGACAGGAAGTAAGTCTGATCCGAAAGAATCAAGGTTTCGGCGATATAGGATCCCGTCTTTCACCAAAAACATTCGTACGGACGGGTCGCGTGGCGTTGACTCCAGTTTGTCAATGATGGCTCGCAAAGAAGCATCCCGACGTTGCTCTTCGCCAATGTTTAACAGCTGCGACACGGAAAAAACGTCCGTGATAGCGTCGGTATCGGTTGCTTCGTCAACAGGGTAGCGGGATAAACAATCCGCATCCTGATGTAATCGCCCTGTTTTGTACATTACAGAGAACGTGTACTCTTGAAGGCGTAGAGCCCAACGAGCGAGACGTCCCATGGGGTCCTTCAGGGAGGCTAGCCAGCAGAGCGCGTGATGATCCGTGACAACACGGAATGAGCGCCCGTACAGGTATGGGCGAAACTTGGCGACTGCCCATACAAGGGCGAGGCACTCGCGCTCCGTGATGGAATAGTTGCGCTCGGCTGGAGATAGTAGTCGACTTGCGTAGGCTATAACACGGTCGTGTCCGCGTTGTTGCTGCAATAGCACAGCTCCTATGCCGTGTCCACTGGCGTCCGTGTGAACCTCGGTTGGTGCTAATGGATCAAAGTGAGCCAAGATTGGTGGCGTTGTTAGCAGTGTCGTAAGTTGCGAAAACGATGACGCTTGATCATGGCCCCAGGTAAACGACGCGTCTTTCTTCAAGAGGTCTGTGAGTGGGCGTGCAATGGTCGCAAAGTCCTTAACAAAGCGTCTGAAATACGAGCACAACCCCACAAAACTGCGGACATCCTTTGTGGTCCTCGGAACGGGAAAGTTCGTGACTGCACGCATTTTCTCTGGGTCTGGACGCACGCCTTGGGCATCGACAAGGTGACCAAGCACGGAAATTTGGCGACGAGCGAAGTGGCACTTGGAGGCGTTAAGCTGGAGTCCGGCTCGGCGAAAAACGTCCAAAATAGCTGACAAACGATCGAGATGCGAGTCGAATGTGGGCGAAAAGACAATAACATCGTCAAGGTAACACAAGCAGGTGGACCATTTCAACCCTTGAAGCAATGAGTCCATCATTCTTTCAAATGTGGCTGGTGCATTGCAGAGTCCAAAGGGCATCACCTTAAACTGATAAAGACCATCAGGAGTGATGAATGCGGTCTTCTCGCGATCCATCTCGTCGACGGCTATCTGCCAGTACCCTGACCGAAGGTCAATAGTTGAAAAATAGGTGGCACCGTACAGGCAGTCGAGGGCGTCGTCGATGCGAGGTAAAGGGTAAACGTCTTTTTTGGTAATTTTGTTAAGGTGACGGCAATCGACACAAAAGCGCCATGTTCCATCTTTCTTTTTAACAAGGACGACTGGAGACGCCCAGGGGCTGCATGAAGGCTCGATAATGTTTTTCGCAAGCATTTTGCCAACTTCATGTTGTAATATTGCACGCTTCGACGCCGACACACGGTAGGGGCGTCGGTGAATGGGGGTTGCATGGCCAGTATTTATGCGATGGGTGACAATGGTCGTTTGGCCTAAAGAGTTGCTGGCAAAGTCGAAAATGCTACGATAGCCCTCAAGAACGTGGCAAAGCGCTGAAGCTTGCTCAGACGTGAGGTCCGATGACGCGAGAGGTACTGGGATCGATACCCAGCGCCTCCACCAATAATGTTACGAGTAACTTCTTTAATGATCTATTTACAGCGCACAGAACTCGACGAGCAAGATGGCGCCAGACCAGCATCCAACGGAAAAACCCACTTCGTCCTCCTCTTTCTTGCAGCCGTGTTTAGCCGCATTTTCGTATCAATATGAAGTCATTATGATAATCCTATGTTCTGGCACTTTATGGCAATGTGGGCTTGTATCACGCATTATACGGCAATATTTCATGTTGTATAGTGAAGCACTTATACAGGATGCATGTGTTTGTAAAAATGAAAGTTACCTTTGCTGTATTTACATCCAGAAGCAGGGCTGTGTGGTAGAAGGCCAGCTTGGTATGCGAACGACCAGGGTTCGATCACCTCTCGGACCCAAACTATTCGTGTTCGATGCTCACTGGCACCCAGGATCGTTTTAGGGGTGAAGCTCCTTAGGGCGTGGGCTGTGCGTCCCCTGTAGCCTGTATGTAGCCACCTCTAGTTTAGTTCTTGCAGTGTTCACTAGATGGCGGTACCGTCCCCTGTATGTAGCCACCTCTAGTTTAGTTCTTGCAGTGTTCACTAGATGGCGGTACCATCTCCTGCATGTAGCCACCTCTCGTTTAGTTCTTGTAGTGTTTACTAGATGGTGGTACTTGTAGCTGATGATGAAAAGATGCAAGATGTTATAAACTAGAAAGCGGTACTTGTAGTTGATGAAAGACGCGAGATCTTATAAAGTAGGAATGATGTCACATATGGCGCGTGTCATTGGTTGAAGGCAATCGTTCGATTTAGTGCGGTGACGTACGCTAGGGAAAGCAATGTAATAAAATCGAGTGGGCAAAATGTACAGAGGATTCATGGTTTACCAGGTTTACCTCCGGAGCTTCGCCCACTCATCATCATTCCCTTCGTGGATATGGCGGAATTTTTTTTTCATCTGCATCTTTCTCAATTTTTAGGTCACGCAAAAATGACAATTTTTCGCTTATAACCAACGACGCCGAAAACGACGCCGACATTTCAGCAAAATGAACTGTTTCAAGTTATCTCGTTAAAATATGAAGTGCACCAGAGTTTCACATTCATATTCAATGGTTGGAAGCCTTATTATGTGATCGATGATCGGACTCTAGCTACATGCGGTGGTACATTTGCGTAACCGGTGTTAGATTGTTTTCTTATGCAAATTGATATACTCAATGCTTCGGTGGGAAGTTCGAAGTGCGTGTGGAGACAGGTGACTGTTATTTCTCATTTTGTACTAGCACGTTGATTAGGATTCCAAAGAAAGTGCTCGAAGCAGCAATATGTTCGATGCGAATCACCCTATTGAAATCGCTTTCAATAGAGAGATTACAGTTCTTTTGTCTACTAGTGAGCGTGAAGAGATGATGGAGAAATGTCTCTTCCGCAGGAGTCATGACAAGTACCAGGCATTGAGCCTGTTGTTAAAAGTACTACTTTAACATGTCAAAATGTACTCTTGGGCCAGCTGGTTCATATTTCAAGAACAACAGCACCGCTGACAGACGAGGCGAGCACGAATACACCTACACAAGGCACCTTGTGTCATTCTTCCTGTTTGCTGTTTTTGCTGTTGTTCTGCTTAAACATTGCATCTTGTGAGCGTCCAAGTTGTGACGAGTTTTCAAGAGAAACTACAATTTCTTAGAGATGCACTAGTTTTCTTAATGCAGTTTTTCCCTGCTTGTAGATTAATATGCATTGTGAGAACAGCTTGTGTAGATATATAAAGGCTCACTCTAAAGCTTTCATCTGTTTAAGAGATGGTAAAGTGGTAATCAGTATCATGCAAAATATATGCACGGTTGAACTTGCCAATTTCTCCTTCTTATGCAAGCCTAGAAGCAATTGTCCTTACATATTATTGCATTCACAAGAACATAGACAATTCTGCTTGATAAGTTTCCAAGGAAAACGACCACAAGCGCTGACAGCCGCCTTATTATGCGTCTTTGGTTGGTCCTGTCATTTCTCATTCTACTTTTGCTGGCTCACCAAGGTTTTCTGTAGAAATTTGTGCCGTTATCATTAACACGGGTCTCAGTTATTTACGTGCTTTTTGCAGGTATGGATTGATGCTGCAACACAAATATTTTTTTCACTTGGGCCGGGATTTGGCACGCTACTAGCGCTATCAAGCTACAACAAGTTTCATAACAACTGTTACCGGTGAGTTTCACAGCATGAGTTTACGAATTTTAGTTTTTTCCCTTGTTTGTGATGACAGATATTCACGGGATATGGATTACAACGCAACAAATATTATAAGCATTAACTGATGTTGATAAGGAAGCCAAAGAATGCGTCAATACAGCTACAAAATCGGCTCACAGGACAACATTTCATTAGGCTTTCCTAAGGCATGTTAGAATAGAGGTTATAATGAAATGCAATTCGTAATAAAGAAACTTCTGGTATACTCAGCTTAAGTGGAGGACGACGCAGTGATAGATGGAGAAGAAAAATACAGGTGTAACCTAAAGAGACAAGAAGATAGCAAAGTGAATGGGAAAAAAAACAGGGTTAAGTATATCCCAGATGAAGTCAAGAAGAAGAACTCGGCATAAATCGGGCACGTAGTGCGTAGGCAGGATAACCGCTAGTCATAAGGGAACTGACTAGATTCCCAGAAAAGGCAAGCGGCTTAGGGGACACGGAATGTATGGTGACCAGATCAGATTAGGAAGTTTGCAAGTATAAAATGGCAGCAGCAAGCACAGAACTGAGGTGACTGGCGGAACATGGGAGAGACCTTTATTCTGCTGTGGTTGTTGTCAGGCTGATGATGATGATGAGTGATACATGTTTCAATAGCTAATATGTTGTGTTATTATATATTAACTGGCGGAATATAAAAATATTGTTGCAGCAGGTTTTATGTGAACCATAATAGTTGACGAACGGACGACGACGAAGTGTTTTTAGGGGCGAAGCTCCTTAGGGCATGGGCTGTGCGTCCCCTGTAGCCTGTATGTAGCCACCTCTAGTTTAGTTCTTGCAGTGTTCGCTAGATGGTGGTACCGTCCCCTGTATGTAGCCACCTCTAGTTTAGTTCTTGCAGTGTTCACTAGATGGCGGTACCGTCTCCTGTATGTAGCCACCTCTCGTTTAGTTCTTGTAGTGTTTACTAGATGGTGGTACTTGTAGCTGATGATGAAAAGATGCAAGATGTTATAAACTAGAAAGCGGTACTTGTAGTTGATGAAAGACGCGAGATCTTATAAAATAGGAATGATGTCACATATGGCGCGTGTCATTGGTTGAAGGCAATCGTTCGATTTAGTGCGGCGACGTACGCTAGGGGGAGTGATGTAATAAAATCGAGTGGGCAAAATGTACAGAGGATTCATGGTTTACCAGGTTTACCTCCGGAGCTTCGCCCACTCATCACCATTCACTTCGTGGATATGGCGGAATTTTTTTTATAGAACGCTTGTAGCATAGTCTCAAATTTTCATTTTGTTTTTCCGCAAATTCTGGGAGCTCCCGCTCCCTCCTTGCGAGACTGGTTGAAGAAGCCACTCAGGATTTTCGAGGTGGACAACCACTACGTCCGGCAGCGGCTAGGAAACGAGGTCCACCTCAAGCGGCACGGACAGCGAGACAACGGAGCTCTACTGCAACGACTTCGAGTCATCGGATGACGACTACACAGTCGTCATGAGCCGCAATGCAAAAAGGAGACTGTTGTGAACACCGTCGACGGCAAGTTTATCCATCGTGCAGGCTACCACGCAGCGTTGGCTGCACACTATACTCTTCATAGATGTGGGCCTTTCAGCAAACCTACGGTGGCTTAACAGACAAGTCCTCTCTGCATACCTCGAAGAACTCGCTCCAAATGAGATTAAATACGTGAGGATCAACTCACGGAAGAATGTTCTGGCAGTTGATGTTCTACACCGTAGCGCGCTGCAAAGCCTAGAAAGCATCTCGAAAATTGACAGAGTCACAATTAAATCAGTGATCCCCACTGACTGTAAGGGCAGTGTTGATTCATGACGTAGGCATTTTCATTCCCACGGACGATTTTTCAATCTTGATAAAGCCAACTACAGACGACATCCCCATCAAGCACATCGCAAGGCTTGGTCAATCACGTTGCCTGAAGATTGTTTTTGAGGGAGACAGTCTTCCACCACACGTCAAAGTTGGCCACGTTCGCCACCAGGTCCGTCCATACATACCGAATCTCTACAATGCTTCCGATGTTTCAAGATGGGACATGTAAAAGAAGTATGTACCAGCAATGTTGTGTGCCCGCGGTGTGCCGAACCTCATTCAGAAGACACCAGCCACGCAACTGCGTTCGAATGCTCCAACTGCCACGGCGCCCATAAAGTGTAGTCTAAAGATTGCCCGCGAGTGCGAAATGAACGCGCGGTGCTGAAACGCATGCAGCGCGACAATTCAACACACAGAAAAGCCGCTGCTACTGCCAGGCGACGTCGGCGTCACCACAGAAGATCATCAAGAAACGTGACATCTGCCGATAGAGACACGTCAGCTCAAGCAAAAACAACTGGTCCCCCATCATCAAGCTCTGCAAAAACGAATACACCGAAAACAAAAGCAGGATCAACACTCCCACCTCGTGAAGAGTGGCTATCCCTTCCACGAACAAAGCTTGATTCAGAGGTACATCGAATAACGCCCACCTCGATGCCCTCACGGACCACTTATGCAAAGACAACTGAGGATCGCCGGGTCATTAACATGTTTCAAACTCTTATGAGCACAATGCGCACGCTCCTAAGCAACATGAACACCCCGTAAGCGCAGAGTGAACTCCATGTGCTGGACACATTGAGTACGGTGCTTGAAGCTCTAAGGTAAAACGATGGCCCGCGACATGTTATCTTTTCTAGAGGAGGTCAACAACGCATCTGTCATTCAGTGGAATGCCAGAGGGCTTACGGCGCGTAAGTCCGAGCTCTGGCAATATGTATTCAAGAACCTGTTTTCCATATTTGTGATTTGTGAATCCAAACCTGTCAGCTCACACATGAGACTGTCTGGATATGAGTGCTTTATGTCGTTTACCCATGGAGAGCGCAGCAAGGTTGTTGTGTTCATTCGGCACGACCTAACTTATGTTCATTACCCTGTACTCCCTGACAAAGAAAACCAGTACACTTGCCTTACAGTAAAAACAAGAAGACTACATTCACAATCATCGGAGCCTACTTACCTCCATCAAGCCGCCTAGACCACGAGCGTTTGCACGGAGTTTTGAATTCAACTCTCCAGCCATTAGTGATAGCTGGCGACTTCAATGCCCACCACTACATATGGGAAAGCTCCAGAGTGAACACTAGAGGTAGACAGTTAGTGTCTTTCGCTTCTGAATGTGAACTTATCCTCATGAATGACGACACCTTTACTTATTTGCGTGGATCGGCCTATAGTAGTTGCCTGGACCTCACTTTCGTCACACGCTCGTTCGCCAGCAGAGCACACTGGTTTTCGTATTTGGAAACAAGGGGTTATGACCACATCCCAACATACCTGGAGATTGACGGCTTTCTAAGTCTCAAGTCCTCCAGAGCCGTCCAGTGAATCAATTGGCAAAAATAACAAGGTAATCATGGAAGACTATGTTGGCGGCTCACCCTTCAACCTAAAGGACGCGATGAAGAGTGCCCTACAGTCCACCGCGCATTCGCTTCCGGTGAACTCATCTCGCAGTTATATAAAAATTGATGTAAAAAAACTCCGAGTGATTCGTCCTCGTGCAGAACGACGTTATAGACGCACGAAGTCATTTATTGTTCCGAGAGTGGCCAGACGCACACTAAAGAAAACACAGCGTCACATGGACAAGTTCGATAAGCGAAGATGGGTATCTTTTTGCGATTTCTTGGACCCCATAAAGCCTCTGTCACTAATTTGTAGAACTGTCGGGGTCTTCGTACAACCATTACTCAGCGCTACCCATTTAAATCTCTAGTACTTCGCTAACGCTGTGAAGAGATTGATGTCGCAGATTCTTTCTGTAGGAGGATTGCTTGCGGGGCAAATTCAACTGGGACGAAGACGCCCGACTTTTCCGTATTCTCACGTAATCCCCGAATAGAGTGTTCGTTTTCGATTGAAGAATTAAAGGCTGCACTTGCTTTGTGTAGGCGTTCTTCAGTGCCAGGACCTGACGGCATCACTTACCGTGCTCTGTGTCACCTAAGAGATCAAGCTCGAAAGGTACTCTTGGTGCTATACAACGACTCCTGGCAAACTGGCATGGTTCCACAGGAATGGAAGTCAAGTCGCTTGATTCCACTTCTCAAAGCCGGCAAGTCACCCTTAAACATTTCCTCTTGCTGCCCGTTCGCCCTCGCGAGCTCTGTGTGAAAACAAGTCACGGAAAGAATGATTTTAACGCGTCTGGAATGGTACTAAGATTTCTGCGAAATATATCCAGATGCTATGTTCGCGTTCAGACAAGGCCGCTCATCAATTGACAATGAAGTTGACTTAGTGACATCTGTAGAGCACCAGAAGGCCTGCAAACGCTGATCTGATGCTCTTGTTCTTGACGTAAAAGAGGCATACGACAATGTCACCCACGAAGCCATTCTCAGCGCATTAGAAGGAGTTGGACTCGGTGGCAAGATATATATGTAGGTTCAGAGCTACCTACAGAATAGATCATTTCACAAGCAGACAGAGAATGGCCCGACACCTGAGTATTACTGTAGCCGAGGAGTCCCAAAAGGTGGAGTGCTAAGCCTGACGCTGTTCAACCTAACACTCATTGAACTAGTTGGCAAGCAACCAAGCAGTGTACGACTTTCCATTTATGCTTATGACATCTGTGTGTGGACATCAGTTTTGACTCAACTTCGCACTCGACTTCAGAAAGCAGCATCAGTGACATCGCACCACCTACGCAAACAAGGGCTCGAAATTGCAAGTGGATAGTGTGCAGTCTTGGTTTTCGTCAGAAAGCCAGTGTCCGCTTACGGCATATCACTTAATGGGCAGTTGGTGGCATGCAGCCGGAGCCACAGTTTCTTGAGAGTCATAATCGACCGAAACCTGTCTTGGACCCCACATGTAAACTACTACGGGAAAAAGTGGCTGACCGCCATTTGTCACTTGTTCAAGTTTCTTGCCGGGAAAAGTTTGGGAGTGTCAGTCGAGTCTATGTTACAGCTGTACAAGGTATTATT